ACTTAAGCCTTGTTTATCATCTTTTGAACCATGGCAATTTTTCACTGCGATGATGAAACTTATTAATTGCCAACCTTTTTGTTGGTGCTTATGGCAAATGTACCCTGTTTTATGAGTACCCATTAATGTGTGTTTGCCGTCTTTTACCGCATAATGGTTCGCATCCGTTGGGACGACGATGACGATGACTTTGTGTACCCACCCACATGGAACGTTGTGGTTGGTGCCAATAAACCTAAGAAGGAGGTTGGTTTTCTTTTTTTTATGTGTGTGCAAGAGATTTCTGTTTTTTTGTTTATGTTTTATTCTGCTCTTTTCTGACTATAACTGTCATGGCTCTAATGAATTTGTTCCTAATTTCTGAAGCCGAAAAAGACCCCACGTAACAGGGCATCACAAGAAGGGTTAACATAGTTGACCAAACGATTTAGCCCAGCACAGAAGGCAGCAACCGGTGAAACGGGGATGTAGTGTATGATGGACGTGCGATGCACGAATCTCATGAACAACGTTTGTGACTGGCTTCGGCAGTTGTATGACCCTGAGTCTAGGGAATTTGTTATCCCGGGCCCTGGAAGAATACCACTGGACGAGGATTCGGTTTTCTGCACGTTGGGTGTTTTGCGGGGCCCGATTAAAGTTCCATACGAGGTGGACAATGACATCGAGCTGGAGTTGTTCCCCAGCTTATTCCCCGGTCAGGGAGCCATGCCAAACAAGACTGCACTCGCAACTTCGCTGAGGCAAATGAATTCCTAAGTAGACTTTCAAGATGAAGTTGCTTATGTACTTGATATCTTCTGTTTTTGCGCGTACAACGTTGCTACGACCAAGCAACAGATGCTTTCCCATCTTGGTAAATCGCATTCTTTGACTTTTTTCATTGTTGTCATTAGCTTTTTGTTGTTGTGCACAAGCATGTTTTGTTCTTTTCTTTGAAGTTTTCTTCTGATGGTGTACGTGCGCACGTATCTGTTTTGATATTTACGCAAAAGAAGTTGGAAGAAGTGAAAGACATGGATTGGTTTATTGCTGATTTCCTCCACAAAGCTTTTGCTAGCAAGATGTACCAGAAGGGTTGTTGGTTGCATGTGATGGTGATTCTTTTTTATCCCACATGTTTTTATTAGTTTTTATTATGTTTAAGCATTGTTAGTGTGATGTGATGGTTCAATTCATTGTGGCATCTTTAATAGCTTTTTATGCGGCTTCTGTAGTTGCATCACTAGGCAACTGTTTATTTCATACATGGCAACTCCATGAGTAGCACATGGCAACTATAGTTCATAGTACATGGCAATCTTAGTCACAAGCACATGGCAACTACAATTGACCCTACATGGCAACTCTAAATATTAGTTCATGGCAACAGTAGCTAACTCCAATTGAGATCTTGCCCTCACGGAACGTGGCAACTCATTTGATTGAATGTTTGTTTTGCCAAATAATTGCATCTCCAACCCCTCTAGGCATGAAATTCTTATCATCTAAGTTTTCACCGTCTTTTCATATGTGTTTTGCAGCTTATGTATGTCAACAGACTTGATATTTTGAACGTCAACTTTCCTAAAGAGATTGGAGGTCCGCCTCCGCCACAGTCATATGAAGCTGTGAAGGGTGTGCTTGCTGCAGACCGGATTTCTGATTCAAAGTTTGGGAAACTCCAGGTTAGTTTTTTCTTTTTTTTTCAATTTTTTTAGGGATAAGGCGGGGGTACTTTTTAATACAGTGATGGCAATTGTAGTTGTTTCTAAATGGCAAATGTAGTTGATGGCATTTTTCATTTTTCATTGCACATGGCAACTACTTTTTAGTGTAGATGGCAAATAGTTCCCTTCCTAGCTGCAGGAGAGACACCCCATGGTTGAGGTTCATTAGTAACCTGGTTGAGCCGTCGCAGGAGAGACACCCCATGGCTTTCACACACCCTAGCTGCAGTCTTGGGATTTATCGCAGCCAGAACAATCAACCAATCGACCCTATGCCGGTTGCTTTCGCTTTTCCTGGAGGAGACGTGGCTATGATGGCGCAGCCTAATGTTGATGGCCGGAAAGCTGTGTCATTTGCCGAGCCCATTGTGGAAGGTAATTTTATCTGACACTCTTTTCCTTCTTTCAAAATATAATGTGAGTTTTATTTTGTTTCATGGAAATTGGTTTTGTTACTAGATGGCAAATAGTGTTTACATGCAATGGTTATTACATTTAGAAATGCCATGGCAGATGCAGTTCATCCAACATGGCAGCTGTACTTTCTAGGTTTCATGGCAATTACTTATGTTAGCATATGGAAAACCATACTTAGTTGCACATGGCAATTGTTGTTGACCATCCATGGCAAATCATTTTGTGCCATGATTTCATTGTTCATTTAACATGTCATTTTTCAGTTGCTTTTTTTGAGGTTAATCTCTCTGACAACATTTTTTGGATGGCAACTTATCCTTTCTACTTTTTTTGTCGTGTGCACATGTCCATGCTTTTATGTTTTTTGTATTTTACAAGTTTCTTTTTCTGTGTTTTTGCAGGAACACCCGAAGAGATTACTCCCTCAATGGAAAAAGATTTAAGCAAGCCTGAACAGGATGCCCTAAGAAGCAAATCATCTGGCAATCAGGACCAATCCAGTTCCTGTGATCGAGAGGATGCAACATACGATGATGTTGTCAGGAGTGCAACTCCTGGTTCTGTGAAGCATGCAAGAGTAGTTCACTCGCCGGCGCAGGATGAATATGAGCCTACATTTAGGGCTACAAAGGAGCAGTGCATTTTCTGACAGTATCAGGCGCTATGGAAACGCTAGGTCGCACAGCAAAAACGTCAAGCAAATCAAGAAGTAATGTCATCCCTGCCCTCACCTGTTCATTTTATGCCTTCACGTTCTAGTGTTTTTAGGTTTCCTCTATTTAGTAATGCTTCTTTCAATGTGTATCATTTTCATACAGCTCATGTTTGGACAGAACTAAGGTCATTCTTTGCGATACTACATATGTTGACATTGGAGATCTGGTAGATGTCGTGAGGCCCACAAGCAGGTTGTCGCAGAATGTAATTGCATGCGGGATTAACTACATCAACAAGCTCGTTGACATTTCCCCTAACAAGGTGATCATCGACTACTCTGTGACATCAAAGATCTGGAGTGGTGACTGGGACCATCCCATAATCAAGAAATGTTTTGCGAATCATGGCGAGTTCAAGCTGACATTGAAAAATCAGGTGAGTATTTTTCACACTCCAGAAGTGTTTATCACCATTTTTTTGCCGTGCATGCGTTGGCCTAGAAATTGCCTTGTGTTTTTAAGTTGCCTCTATGATCACTTAACTGTGCATATGTATCACTCCATGGTCAATTGAATTTTATTTATTAGTTTGTATGTGATGGCAAATCTAGTTAAGTGCCAATGGCAACTACTAGTACTTCTGGATGGCAACTTCATATTGATGGCAACTAATTTTATACTGATGAAATTCACTTCATAATTAACTCATCTTTCCATGGCAACTTTTGTAAATCAACGTTGTTGTTATTTTTTGACAATCAAGCAATGGGTGATGGCAATTTGTATTTTTTTAAATAATAATGTGTATTTTTTCTATAAAAAATAGTGGCGACAACTTTCACATCTTTTGACCATGATTTATTTCGCCTTCTCATAACGCGTGGCAACTCATAGCACGGAAATTTTGTCTTTTTTGTTTTTGATTTTTGTTTGCAGATCATGTTCCCGATGTTCCAAGAGCTTGCTCCACAGAACCCGACACATAAGTGCGGACACTTCTACTCTGTTTGCCTTAACCTGAAGCATCAGCGGTGCTCGATTCCGTGTGCTCAGAATCGGATCCCGGTCTCAAGAGTCATGCTGAGCTCTTCATCCAAAACCTCAAAGAAACCTGGAATCGCCATTACGAAACCTCAAAGGTCCAGATCAGCCACTTCAAAACTAAATACATCGTGACGGCGAAACGGGTGAGTCTGGTTTCTTCTCCCTCACCCAATGCATGTTTGTTGCACAACTTGTTTGTTTCCTTCATCTTAACCAAGGAATATTTTTTCCTGTTTGTGTCATGAGTTTTGTTATCTTTTTGTTCTAGGCAGGACTATGGCTACTACATGCTCGAGCACCTTGCAAAGTGGAAAGGAGGCAAGGTTCCCATCATCACCGATGCAAGCGTTAAGAGCTCATGAAAATCTCGACTTGGGAATGGGTGATGAATCAGGGGTTCAACCAGCGACTCGGTGCATGGGAATTCATTGAAGATTCCGTCAAAGCTGCCAACCAAAAGTACCGTTAATCACGTGGTAGTCGATGCCCCATGCGTACCATACATTCTTTTGGTGGATGAATTTAAGGTACATACTGTCTCTCGAAAACATGTGTGGTGTGCTACGTTTTGTATCCATTGTGCATATATTATTAGATAGTTCTTCCTTGCTACAATATTCCATCCATTTTGTTCAGTTTGCTGCGAAATAGGAAGGTGCAACTCAACTCTTCCCTGAAAGCATAACACACGAAGAGGTAGCCCTTGTCAACCTCATGGACAAAGAAACCATGCGCATGATGGTCTTCTCTACATCGCCGCGCGGTTGTGGTACTTGTAACGCCTGTCGCAGGCGAGGAAGTAGGCAAAGTTGAGTGTCCCCACGGCGGCAAGCGTCCAGTAGACGTTGTCCAGCCTCCCGTGGTCTATGTTCTCCGGCAGCCACGCCGTGGCCCGCGTCACCACATCCATGAACATGGTGCTCGAGAAGAACCCTAGCGCGACGAGCATCGGCGCCATGGCCGTAGCCAGGCTCCGCAACGTCTTGGGGAACTCCTGGTAGTAGAAGGCCATGTTGCCAGGAAAGTGCAGGGCCTCCCCGACCCCCGCGATTCCCATCGGGAACAGGAGCCACATCACGGACATGGGGACGCCGGGCTGCGCGAGCCTCCGGCGCTCCACCAGCGCGGCAGCGACCATGGCCCCGACGTTCAACATGTGGCCAATACCCACTCGCTGCAGCGGGGTCGGTGGCGTGCCGCCGGTGATCTTGCGCCAAAGAGGGAAGACGGCACGGTCCAGGACTAGGGTAGCCAAGATGAACGAGACGCGGCAGCTGACACCGATCGACCCTGCCGGGATGCTGAAGTGTGGTCCGACTGAGCGGTCCATGGCGAGCGCCTGTAGGACGATCATGCCGATCATCACGCCGATCGACATGAACAACAGTATGCCGGAGGACCACAGCGGGAAGACGCTGACGACGGCCTTGAGGTCCTCCACTTGCTGCACCGTGCACAGCCGCCACGAGCCAGCTGACACATCCCCGGACACGGATGATTTGTCGCTTGTAGTGATCATGGCGGCTCGATTCAGAAATCTGCAACAACAAGGTCCAGCGGATGAATGATTCACCAATCCCGTGTCCTGTTTGGAAAACAGCTACAGAGGAAATGCAACCTACGTACTAGCTTACCTTAAGCTTTTACTTGGTGCCCCATCGCCGGATGGGTCCACAACAGCGCCGGCGCCCACATTGTAATGTACACTGCCTTGCGCTCCGCAAACTTTGATGCTACCCTTGCGCACGGCGGCCACGATGACGCGAGCCAGCTCTGTGTACGGGCTGGCCTTTGTCGCCGGCATCCGGTAGTAATACACGCCTAGAAGAAGCATGATTGTGCCGAATGCCGTCGTGGCGAGGCAAACACCAAAGCCCACCGCCCATGACACACTGTCTTGGATGTAGACGATGGCTGTGTCGCCGAGCATGAAAGAGGCGTAGAGGAAGACCAAGTACCAGTTGAAGAAGCTGTCCTTGTCGCGCGTGCTGCTGAACTGGTCCGCGCCCATTGTCGCGATGTTGAAACGTGTCCCGCCAGCGCCAATGGCGAGAAGACAAATGGCAGCGTACAACACGAAGAGTTGCCCGGGGGATCCTTGCTGGCACTCAGCCGACGACAATGTGCAGTGTGGCGGCCTCAGGGATGGCAGCGCCGCGGTGAGTGTGAACAACACAAAAGCCTGTATAATTACATCGTGAAAAACAATATTAACAAAAAAGACGATCATTTGCCATGGACGGTCAGGCTCAAGTGCCCGAGGAACAGTTTTTGTTGCAGTGCTTCAATTTTTTTTGTTGCATAAAAGGGCAGAGAATGCTGAAAACAACCAAGGGCTCATTTTGTTTACATGGTTTCCCAATCAAGGGAATAGGAAAATTAAAATTAAAATCATATAGAAATCCTCCAAAATCTAACAAATCGCATGATCCCTAGAGGTTCAATCTATGGATTGTTGCATTCATTTGTGATGATAAGGGACTGCTGGTGTTGCAAGCATATAAAAGTTATTGAGCAGCCATGTTTCCTTAATGGTACGTATGATAAGATGTTGACAGTGGTAAGTGATGATTTGTTGACATGTTGCAAACATATGAACAAAATGTTTGCATCACAGAAAAAACTAGTGCAAAGAGTGAGTGGGTTCTCACGTGCCTAAGAATTTGCATATCGTTTTTGCACCAACAAAAAATGATATAATAATCACTATAAAGTTTCATGTCAACAGGGGATTTATATTCTCAAGCCTCTCTCATCTTCAAAATATTTATGTGTAAAGTTCATGGTAATAATTTATTGACATCTGGATATGAAATGATCAGCGTATGCATTTTGAGATAGTTGCACGAAAGAGAGTTTTCTTTGTTTTACGTGAGGAGCATGTGTCGCTATTTGTCATTATCTTCGGATAAACGTGAAGTTGTCATGCATGGACAATTCAAATGGTTATTTTGACAGATAGAGCGTGACATGTTTCTCTTGACATTATATTACATGACATGACCATATGAATACTTTTGTTGCACATCGAACCGTGACTTTCTTTTTATTAGCAGAGAAAATAAGAGTAGAATTCCACAGAAGATTACTCCTTCTATTTCATAATTCTTGTCTTGGTTTTAGTTCTTGAACTAAAACCTTAGTCTTTTTGTTAGAACACTAAATCCTTAGTCTTGATCTAAAACCACGGGAGTACTTAAAATGAAAATAAATTATGCATAAGAAGGTTCAAAAAACGAGTAGGGACACCCTATATGACTAAGTACGCGATGTCCACAAACATATTTATCTCAACATAGAACTATGCCACCTCGAAGGGCCACCTAACATGTGAGCATGCATGCAAACAATCAAATGCTTTAATCTATTATGTTTATATTCAATAAATATTTTATAATTATATAATAATCATATGTATTTTCATTTTTTGCTCTTACACTATTAATCCAAATATTCATGTTCATATTATTCCTATCTTCTATATCTAAATAGCTAGCACCCACTAACATATTGCCCTCAAACCCAAGCATGTCACCATATCATGCAACATGCATGGGAAAATGCTCACCTCAACATGCAAGCATGCATGATAATTCATTTCACGATGCTATTTATTTTTCTGAATACCACTATAAAATAATCAACACAACAAATAATATGTGTTTTATTTTTATTCTCATATTATTACTCCAATATATTCAGTAATTTTTTTATAGTTACATAAAATATGTATTGCTAGCTAGTTTTTGCTTATATATTCTTAATTCAAATATTCATATTTGTATAACCAAATTTCATTGAAATATATTGCAAGCAATTCCTTCAGTAACGCGTGGTGTATCATGTAGTTATAAGATGTGTTTCCGACGTTACTTATATTTTGGCTCTATGAAGGACCAGTGTGCCATGACGCTTGAAAAGTTGTTATCATCTCTCAAAGTTGGTCGGAACGGAGTGCGACAAATTAATTTGGTAGAGGTCGGACCAGAACGTTGATGGCGGCGCCGGCGAGGATGACGGGGAAGCAGCCGAGGTAGGAGTCGGAGAGGACGGCGCCGGCGATGGGCACGAGGTTGAGGGAGCCGCGGACGACGTTGGCGATCTGCGCGGCTTTGACGCCGTCCACGTGGTACTCCTTGAGCAGGTACACCAGCATGTTGCTGGTCGTCCCGTTGACGGCCAGCCCCAGCCCCAGCATGGTGGCTGCATGCATGCATGTTTTACACACCATACCATGGAGTGAGTGACCATGAAAACACGGATAGAGAGAGAGAGAAACAGAGAGGAGGCTGCATGCACGTACCAACTATGAAGGGAAGAGTGATCCATCCTCCTCGCTTTCCGCCTGTCTTCGTTTGGGCTTCTTGATCCTCGAGGTACTGAGGTTTCGGGGAGCTGTCCATCTCTGGCTGGTGGTCCGGTCTCTGGAGGTCTGGAGATGCACGGTATATATACTCATGGAAATGAGCCATGTTGCTGCTGGGCTGGGTATGTTGCTGGTGGTGGCAAAATAATATACACTACTACGCCTGAGAGATTCTCAATCATACTACAAGGATAGGTCCACGTGTGTCCGCATTGGGCTTTAAAGGGCCGGGGCCGGGTGGGCAGTTCTGATTTTTTAGACTGTGCAATATTGACGCCCTGCTTTGACATTTGTCAGGGTGAATTCGCCGCAGGTGATTTTAACATCCCGTTTAGGCTGGATGTAGTTGCACATGCTCGAGACTTACCTCTCAACACTCTTCCTGATGGTATAGTTTGGTCCCTTTCCAGCAATCGCAGATTTACTACAAAGACAATGTATGAGTGGTTAGAAAAAGATATTGTTGGGTCCTATTGGAAAGTTTGTCTTCCCCTGAAAATCAAGATTTTTTGCTTGCAATTATTTCAGAATGCAATTTTGACACATGATAATATGCGAAAAAGCAATTGGCCTGGCAATCCTTCATGTTCTTTTTGTGATAATGCTGAATCTGCCAATGACTTATACTTTACTTGTTCTCTAGCTCGCTTTGTTGCGGTTTTTTTGGAAAGGCTTTAGGGACTGATTGTTTGTGGGTTTTCTGGAGCAAAGTTCTTGTTTTTTTTTTGAAAGGAGGAAGACCCCCGGCCTCTGCATCTGGACGATGCATACAGCCATTTTATTAATTATTGACACAAGACCTTACGCAACATCTGTCGCTACTCCTATCCAGTTGATGAAGGGCGCTGATAGTCTGGGCCTAATACCAAACAGATCTCGTAGCCAAACCTAACATCTAAGACCTGAGGTCCCAACCAGGACGCCTGTCGGGTATGGGCATCCAGCAGTCCGGTGTGCTCCTCAATCAGGACGCCTGCCGGGTATGAGGCCGCCGCAGCCACCTGCCATCAATCAATCTTCAGAGTTATACTGCTGCATCTACCATGCCCGGTCTAGTTGTCGCCGACGCCACCACGACGCCAGACAGCGTCACCCTCCTGCGCGAGTCCATCTCCGCGCATCGGGCGCCGAGTTTCCACTGCGCCATGCCACCGAGATCCGCCGTCATCAATGGGCAAGATAAAACACCGCTCCTTCTCTTGTCCCCTCCAACCAGCACTTGCTCCAAAATGATGCCCCCAGGAGGAAAAACGACACCGAAGGCACCGTCATCGTCCGATCTGGTAGACTCAGATCTAGGGTTTCCCCGGAACTTCCCGATCAGGTTGACGTGACCTGCAACGATGATGCCTCGAGAAGGGAAAGACGTCCGCGATGCAGCCATCGTCCGCCAAGACCGCAGTCAGGCGTGATTTTCACCGGAAGCCACGTCGTCCCGATCTCACGGCTGGCAGGAACCGAGCGAAACCTCGCCACGAAGATGTGTGTCGCCCTCGGTACTCCGGCGGAGATCCAGCATCTCCTCCCCGGCCCCTCCACGCGCCGCCGATCGGCGGAAGGCCTCCACGTGGCAGATCCGATCGGGGCGCTGGATCCGCAGTCACCGCCGATCACCATCTCCAACCAGAATAGCCCACCCGGCCGGATGGGGCGCTGCCACCGCCGTCATCCATCTCAGGGCCGCAGCTCCGCCGTCTATGGTGCTTCGGCCACCGCCGCACGACCTGGGGTCGCCGCCCCGGCCGCCGCCTTCAGATCGCACGAGAGGAGCCGCCTGCCGCCTCAGATGAGATCCACAACATCCACCCGCGACCACCGGACAGGACCAACGCAGCCACCACCTCGCGACACGCAGGCCGCCACCGCCACGCCGCGCACGCCGCCGCCGGGAGACCCACCAGCCGCGCCGCCGAACCCCACGTTCGCCCGGCGCTCCTCTCGACCCCGTTGTCCCGCGCCATCCAAGACGAGAAGGATGGGGAGAAGCCCTGCCGCCACCCAGCCGGCCAGGCTTCGTCCGGCGGCGCTGCGGACGGCGGCGAGGAGGGAGAGAGGCGGAGGAGGTGTGAGAAGCGACGGCTAGGGTTTCCCCCCGGGTCGCCCGCAGGGGCGACGCGAGGGGCGAGGGTCGTGACGTGATAATGCCTTTGGAGCAAAGTTCTGCTTGGTTACATCGATTCCTTCTTGGATGGTGGAACTTTTATATGATGTGCATCGCTGCAATTTGTTGGGTGTTTTGGTCTACCCGTAACAAGGTAACATTTGATGGGCATATTGTTAGACATTTCCTAGAGGGAGGTTGTCTTCACTTCTTGATCTTTTACTTTGTACTGGGCAGGTTTGCTGGGGTGGAGTCTGTTCACATGGGCGCCGAGAAGGCTGAGGACTGATGGATGATTGAAGCCTTGTCTTCATCTGGACAACCTCAGATTATGTTTCCTTTGGTAGTGTTACCTGATGCGTGGTGTCTCATAATTGTCAGGTTGATGTTTTGGTGTTAAAACTCGTATCAATGTTAGCAGGTTTTTGTCCTGTAGCAGGCTTTTCGACGGTGAGCGCTCGCAACGGATTTCCTCCAACTCGCTCCCCGATGTTCCCTCTCCTACCTGTTGTTGTACTGTGTTAATTTGGATGTGAACAATCTCTTCTCTCGTACTTAAAAAAGACATAAGGTTATGTCATTTGCTTATTTTTTGTCCGACCTTACCCCTTCTAGTTTTA